TAACTAGACAGTTGCTAGCATAAAACTCGAAATTATTAAATTCATTTCATTCATGGTAAGTTAAATGATAATTTTTATTATAAGACACAGTAAGTATTATTAAACCCATGAAAATTATGCACAGTAATTATGTAAATGTCAAAGTAAAGCTAAGTAAGATGATGGCTAGATAGAATAGCTGGTAAAAGTATAATGTACAAGAGATAAAGCATTCGAAAAAAATTATTCTGTTCTTTATACACAACAATCAAACTGAATTACAGCTGAAAAAAATGAAAATATTTTCTTAGGATCTTCATTTTACCTTGGTCTTTCCTGAATAAACATGATTAAGATACTTAAAAATTAAAGGATAAATTGCATGATTTAATGGCTTGATAATAGTAATATTGTTATCAAAACACATTAAAAGCATTAATTGAAATAAATTGACATATGAATTGGAATGATAATTTTTTTTAATTTATCATAAATTTTGAACTAAATTTTGATAATAACGAAAGCTAATAAATCCCAGCTACAATTCAGTTTAAACATGGTAGAATTATAAATTTAGTGTTTGTCGAAAATTAAAATGTAAATTTATTTCACGATTAACCGAACGGATTATTTTATTAGCGAATATGGTGATTCAGTTGTGAAGGATTAGCTCTTACTTAATGCAATCCCACGTTATGCATACATTTCCATCAACCTAGTAGACAAGTTTTTAATTTTTTTTTATTTATTACAATAAAATCATCAGAAAGTATTGAAACCCCTAAAACCTTCGAGTGTAACGTAAAATAAAGCTTCAACTTTTACTCAACAGTTACTACAAACACAGTAGGAAACAGCAATGTTGCAACTACCTTTCAAATCCCCTTTCTGGTCATGAATCAAATGAATTGAATAACGAAACTTTCCCGATAATTTCTTTCAATGTCGTATTTTGGTGAATCATGATTTTATTTGTGTATTTAAAAGAAAAGGATTACTTTTATTTTCTTGTCTCATTTTGGCTAGGAATTATGTCTAGTCATCATCAATGATGAAAGCCTTGGAAAGTCCTAGTTAAAAAAGTATAATAAAATACTCAATTAAAAGCTCAAAATACTTGGCCTTACTTGAGAATAAATTGCAATATCAGAGTAAAGTTATCAATAGTTGATAGCATTCGACTGAAGTTCAATTGAAATAGATTCTGTAGCAAGTTATGGTATGAAAAATTCATGCTGTTATCAATCAATCTTGAATTTTATTTTTATCGTTACATCTTCTAATGTTGTGCTGCTTATATTTGCCATCATTTTGCTGTCATCATTTACATTTTTGAATGCTTGAAAAATTTTCAATTAAAATTAAATAATCAATATTGAATTGATATTCTGATGAATGAATAAGTACTTCAAGTGGAGTTGAATCAAAGAATAGGAAAATATAACGGCAAATTTTAAGTAACACAGTTACAAAAAGAGGAAAAAAGGAGAAATAAAGTAAAGCCCTTGAGGTAAACAATCTTTATTACAGCTCAACAAACTAAGAAGATTCATGAAACATGTTTAGTTTTACTTCTAAAGATATTTATTAATAAAATATAGTTGAGAGTTGTTATTTACTGGGTAAAATGTACCTGTGTACACATATAGCTTTTTCTTTTTTACCTTTTTTTTATTGCATATCCGTAATTTACTTTTAATTAAATTTCTCACTTCTTGGATGCTTTTTTAGTTGATCGACCGTGGACTGTTTGCCCTATTACTTTGTTCCGGCTTTCGTATTTACAAAAACTGATTAATGAAATCTAAGGGCAAATCATGCTGAGAGAATTACTTTTCACTTTAAAAATAAAATTTCAATAATAAAAAAAATCTAATAAAAACTTCCCTCAACTTTCTTGGCTTAAAAAAAATGATGAAAGTAGCAAGTTCACCTTTATTCGAAAAGCTTTTATGTGCTTTTTTTAATCGTTTTTTTCCCATTCATGATTAAAATCAAAGTCAATAAAATCTCATTATTCACTGTATTATTAATTGTATTTTCTCAAAGTTTTTCTTTGGAAAATGAAAATTACAATTCCTTTGCATATACAAAAGTTCTGAAAGGATAGAAATTGGATTTAAATATTCTAAATTATTTCTGATTATTTATAAATAGTTGAATATGTATAGGACTTACATGTACATATGAATTAATCATTCAAAACAGAACAATTATACTCATGAATGAAGTTGGATTATTAAATGAAAACTAATATTTAAATAAAAATATTGCGTGCATATTGAGTCAAGGGAAATTTATGAATGGAAGAGATCTGGACTAGGACCAGGTGTTGAAGTATTGGTTGAAGTCGTAAGAAGGATTGGCCCTGGAAGCTCTATAGTGGAAGTTTTGAAACATGGTGTCATTTATTACATTATGATGAAGTCCTTAACTTGCAAAAAGAAGAGATAGAATTGTAATTAATATTTAACATTAACATTGAGTTACAAAGAAAGTTGATCATGAAAACTTATAACACATCCTAATTTTAAATACCCCATGGGACAGTTAGAGTCTTGAAAGTTAAATAAATAATCAATTCTATACTCACTCTATAAATAAATATTCTATTAATTCTACTTATTGAATTTATAAGGGGTAAATAAATGTAATTATTTTTGTAGTATTACTCCTCAATTACATCAATCAATTGATTAATCAAGTTTGGCTCTTCATTTGAGCAATCCAGGAAGGCATGTCTTTTCTCTTCGAATGTGACTGGTGAACTGAAATACATAAGACTAAAATAAAAGCATCTCTGCTTCTATTAACAACTGATCTATTCATTAGTGTTCAAGACCTTGATTATTACATATGTCAATCTCTAATTGTATACACGTTGTTTTTTTGTTTAGACAAATAAACTTAATAAATTGATGTTTTCTTTTCTGAAACTAATAATGCAATTTGTGTTTCATCAACAGCAGGAAATTTGTTTCATAACAAAATCTTATTTATAAAAATTTCATAATACATTTAGACACGATAACTAGATAATCATTCAAAATTACTTAGATACTTAATAGCATAAATCTTTAGATTATTTTTAAAAAAGAGTTAACAAGTAGATTGTTAATAAAATGACCAAGTGGATGGTTGAAGTTGACGAGTATCGCTTAGTTCCAGTTATTTTGATTGAAACAAAAGTTAAGGTACTCAGCTACCAAAGTGTCATCAGATAAATTGGTTACTGAATTTCGTTGAGTACAGTCTAACTTTTGACCTTGATTTTCCATAAATTGTGAATGATTTATGTTTTAATTTTCTTTTGAGTAATCATACATAGTGAAGATGATACCATAAATTAACAGCAGATGTTCATGTGGATAAATGAAATTTATAATCTTTTCTTTGTTCCAGATTGCCAGTTTACAAGCGGAAATAAAAAGAAGAAAAAAAGAGATTTTTTTTATAGTGTATTTTCATGATCGAATCTTTATTTCGACAACTTCTTGTTAAAGAAAAGTGTGTACAAACGTGCAAAGTTTTTGTGATACTCATTGAGTCAAGATTCTTGATAGTAAATCGTAAAGTTCATACGAATGTTATTACTGAGGAACTATAAAATTCTTTCCTCCACAAGTTTTGTATTTATTTCCTCTTCATTCAATTCTTCCTCTTGATTTTTTTTATTTTTTACTTCATATCCTCTACTAGAATCATCCACTCGCAGTGTCTTTCTGACATAGACGAAAATCAAAAGCTAAAAATTTATTTGTGAGTTCCACAACTCAGTTTTGATAACATTCAACTCTAAATGGAAAACAACAGTTTGATCATACTAACACAAGGTTGTAAAAAAATTGACCAATGGAATCGTAAACTTCAATTATCTCCAGTTTTTAAGTATTTCATTTATTCTTGTATTTTTTTATTTTATTTGATGTGTTGAAATGGTTTGCCAAATAGAAAATTAGCTAATGTGATGATGAATATTATGATAAAAGCAAAATTAGAATCCTGATGAAATGATAAATAATTTAATGTTATAAATTAACGAAGAAAAACAATAAATAAATTTTAGAAAGTATTTAATTTTTCAATAAAACTTGACCAATTTTGTTTTAATTTAAGAATAAAAGTGACATAAAAAGTTCTCATGGTGAAAAAGTAGATATTAAAATGTAGGATAAACATGAAATATCTATATCTAGAATGCTTTAAATTTTTTTTACGACCACCATTTAATTAATTTTTTATTACTAAATACTTTTTCGTGAAATTACATATGCTGATGTAGATAAATTGGAAGTAATGTATGATGGTAATTTAGTTTTCTAGAATGCATATAAATGATGCTAAAAAAAGTTGAACATTTTGATGTTTTATTGATCTTTGGATTAAATGAACAAAAAAAAATGATTTTCACTTTAGAAACGTTACTAATGATCAAATTGTTCTCTTGAGGATTGTCAAAGGGATACTATTAAATCTCCAAAGTTCCCACTTTGCAATGCATTCATTGTACCCATCATTGAACTAGTTTGAGTTTCGTTATATCGATTGCAACCTTTGCAACATTCTTTGACTCTATTTTACTCCATTTATTGTAATGCTATTCGAGGAATGTAAATTATCAGTTATTCAATAAAATACTTTTGAAATAAGTAATGAGCTCAAAGAATAGAAAGATGAAACTTCAGTAAAGGTCACGAACAAAGCTTCTTATTCTTACTTTATTGTGCTTTTTTTACAAGCATTGAATTCTTAAAATTGGTATTTTTAACTTGCTATTTTTTTGTTCGTTATTTAAAAAGAAATTTTGAAATCTGTATGAGATAAGACGTTTTATTAAAAAAACATTATCACATTGACAATTTGGCAACTCTTCAAACTTTTCCACAGTTTGAAAAAATCGTTAGAAAGTTTTTGTTGATAAACGGAAGTTTCTTTCTTCAGGCCCGGATATGTTTATTTAATGTTATTTTTGTTTTTGGAAATTTGGAAAATCGTTAATAACAATAAACATCAAGAATAATAAGTAACAAGTGATGAAGGTGAAACTCAAAGTGAAACAAACACGATGCAGTCAGACATCAAGTGATGATACAGCTGGATTGAGCATGTGATTGACGAATATTTACAATTTATATGGACGTCGAGGTGGAGTCATCATGCTCGAAGGTAACGTCGCAGCTTGGACAAGTGAATTGACGGCTATGCTCCATCAAATACCTTGTAACATTAGCAGCGTTGGGCTTTTCAGTTGTACAGACCAATGTGGATTCATACCCATTGATTATGACCACTTATGCATGGTACAGCACATCAACGACACGATACCAACTGACACAGACAGTTATTTTGTTGGAATGCCCTATACTAGCTTATTTTGTCGACCATGTGATTACTCTGAATGTCAAATTAACGTTTCTCTTGTACTGAATGGACTGGAAAACATTGAGGGAGCATTTTTGTCACGGATCCCAAGAATAAATGATTGCAATTCAACTTTTCTTGCTGATGTAAGTAAAATAATTGACTAATAATTTTTTAAAAATTTATTAAGAGAATCTCATTAAAAAACATTCATTCATTTCTCACTTTTGATTATTGGTTTGTTCAAATTTTTTTCATAAATTCGATGATAGAAATGAATTACCCCTGCAACAGAGTTTACACCATAAAGACATTACAAATACTCGATGTCTTTTTGTTAGATTCACACTATTGTTACATTCACAACACACTGAATTTCAATCATAACATTATGTTTACACCAGGTCTACATTTTGCATATATTACGTCGATTTGGTGTTCACACCAGGTCTACACTCCGTACACGATACATTATTTTTTGTCGTTTACATCAAATTTACCACCACACTAATAATTTGTGATGTATATTTATACAAATATTTACACCTAAAAAATTTCATAATTACACAGTGAATATATTTGCTGAGATAAAATAAGTGTAAAAATGGTGTACAGTTTCGAGTGAAAAAAAAAGTATTCGTGAGGTATATAAGAGAAAGAAAAACAACGTTTATATTCGTCTACACACTGTAAATTCGAGATGATTCACACACGTGTGAAATTCATTCATTTGATGTATGTTACGTATATAACTCCGTTAATGAACTATTCTACGTGTGTGAATTTTTCACACACTCTTACACTATGAATCCAGCTAAATTCAAATGTTTACACTGCAAATTCAAGTGTGTTATTCTTGTAGAGACTTTTAACACGCTAAGCCTTTTCAATGTTAAAAACCGTAAACCAATTTTAGATTTTTCACATGCTGTGAAACGTGTAAAAAGTGTCTACAAATAATGTATTGTTTGTTTATGGATATTTTACATTAAGCACACTTAATGTGTGTTATTTTAACACGTTTGTAGAATCTTAGGATTTACAGTGTAATAATTAAATACTTACAGTTTACAATAAATACTATAGAGAAACTATATCATTTTGGTAAACGGTAAGAAACGTTTAACCCTTAAATGCATAGCGTATCAAAAATGAAACGGTAAATTTATGCTCCTATTACACATTTATAATTACTAATCTCAAGACTCGGTGGTATAGTAATGATGTCTTGTTGTATTATTTTCAAGTGTGTAAAAAAAATAAGGGTATTAGTAGAGCGCGGGAATGAAACTGTCATTTTCGATTACCGGAACGTCTTTGGTGCGAACTACACGGAGAGAATTTTTTCACTAAATGTAAGAGCAAAAATGACAAGTACATGCTCGAAATTTTGAAGTAAAAATATTTCTGTTCAATAGTGAATTTTGGGTTGTCGTAATTAATTTTTGAGTTATCCTAAGTAATTCTTTTACTAAGACACTTTTTAAGTTTCAAGTTTACTTACAAGAACTCTAAATTTACTATCATATAGAAATATCTTTACTTCTTAATTTCAAAAAGTGGACTTCACTTTTTGCACCTATATTTAGTGAAAAAATTCTCTCCATCTACAGTATGTTGAAAAATTCTGTTTGTGATTAAAATTAAATTAAATGGACTTTTCTTAGTACATAAAATATATTTTGCGTCATACCCGTGCGGAAAGTTCACTTTTCCATTGGAAAAGAGTTCAAATTACCACGCAGGTATGATGAAAAATCATATTCGGCCCTAAGTAGGCCAATCAGACTACCTTAAACCACGTATTTACCATTCTTGCTTTCGGCTCGGGGATTACACGTGATTTGAGCTTTTCTACTTTCCCCCCTAGGTGTGGAATGTACTGATACCGGTACATTATATCGATAAATATTCATATTTTCTAATTATGATTTTAGTATGTTTTTTTACTTATGTCTGTTTTATGTTATTTTCTTAAAAAAAACAATCGTCTTGTCAAAGGTTTTTTCAATAATAACATCTAAAAATATGTACTTTGAATCATTTATATTTTTTTCCTTTTGAGTAGAAAAAATCATGCATTTAAGGGTTAAAACTGCTAGAGTTTGATTATGGAATTTAACATTAGAAACACATCAAATGTTTAGTTTCTCAACACTCAGATTTGTAGTGTATGTGTGTAAAAAGTTGCTACAAAATTACTTTACAGTAGGACTCCTCGACCATCGAGGAACCTAGATTCTTATTTCCCTCTTTGGATGGAGAATTAGTTATCACCACTCTGTTTATTTCCCCAGGAATTTTTACTCCCATGCCGTAGATTGCCGAGGAATCCTACTGTAATTTATTGATGGCATTATACATTATATGTGTGGATTTTAAACATGTGTGACGAGATTTTGGATTTGTTGTGCACTAGAAATACTACGGTGCATAAATATATGGTATAAATACTGTTGCTAGGGTACCCGAATATTTAGTTTACAATACCGAAAAAAGGATAAAGTAAAAATTACCCTGCAATTCAGAGTAGCTCGGGTACAGAGTAAAATTTACCTGGCTCCATCACGGCAAATCATAAAGTTTTATTTAAAAAAAATTTAAATGCATTAAAATAAAACACTTACAATTAAAGCAAGGTCCAATAAATTAGCGTTATCATTCAGTATTGGTCTAATCATTTCCCATGATTACACTGATTAACGCTGAATACGTGCAGATAAGTTTACTGTAACACGCCTCGGATTTTATAGTGTAGACTACACGGAGAAAAAATTCCGTTAATTTTTATTTAAAAATACATACAAAAATTACCGTGCTGCTCAAGAATGTGAGTTCAAACTTACTGAAAAGTAAAAAGTAATGATCAACATACAAAAATTATAAGTTACATAAGAAAATGTATCATTCAGTTTTTTGAAAATTACTTTGGCAGCACCAGAAAATTTAGTGTTCCACAGCACCTGAAAATTTAGTAACGTTAGCTGTGATAACTACGTAACCGACAAACAATTTTATTTAAGTTTAGTGATAATTTTTTTGGTTATATAAACAAATAAATAAATAAATTAGGTTCATTGATAATTAACTTTCTTAACTAATTAATTCGTTGGAATGAAATACGGCACACGTTTTACAATACTGCCCCCCCCTATCCCTACGATCGGGATCTTACGCAGAAAACCTGTGTCGTCGATACACACCACCCGGCTCTCCGAAGAGATCTTCCTCTCCCGCTCACGGTGGCCCGAGAAAATCATATAAATGACTTTTGTCTCGGCCGGGACTCGAACCCGCGACCCATCGTGTGTCAAGCTGACGCTTACCCATGAGTCCACCGCGTCAATCCGTTTAAGCTTATCATAAATTGTTAAGATATAACGTGTTGCCGCCAATATTGAATCGTAACGAAAAATATGAATGTCATCTTTGTTTACAATATGGAAAAAGTAACTATAGCACTGAGGGTGTTCACACAATCAAAAACAAAAGCCGTAAGATGTACGCATGCGTACAAACCAATTTTTAACTTATTATGATGTTAGTATGCACGCGTACGTCTTAAATTGTACGTTTTACGGCTTATATTTTTGATTGTGTGAACGGTCTTACAATACAAAGAAAGATTGTGTTGGACCGATAATTCGAAGATTCCCGACCCAGCACGGAAACTCTCGAGAATAGAAAAAATTATAGGAGAGCACCCGAATTTTTCCTACCACACGGATCATAATAAATTATATACAGATTCTCATTTTTTTCTAGTCACTTACTAATTTTTGTTTAAAGTTTGAATAAAAATTAATATTTATCGAATATTACCGTGCTGCATAAGAATTTTTACTTTTACTCTTCTTAATAAATATTGAATCTATAATAAAAATTTTAAAAGGATTACTAATTTTTCTTTGAAGGTTGTCTTAATTTTTAGGGAATTGACATTTGCGCGTGGATTGTTGTGCTGAGCACGGTAATTTTTATTGGAATTTTTTCTCCGTGTAATACTACACGCAGAGAAATGTATAGTAAAAATTACCCCGAATTTTATGGTAATTGGGTAACACTGCAGAGTGAGGGTAAAAATTACTGTGCACATTGTTAAAATTACTAAACTGCCTAGTTATTTTTAATCTACTTTTACCCTAAAAATTACTATGCCATTTAGTAATTTTATCAATGTGCACAGTAATTTTTACAATGTGTACGGTAATTTTTACCCTCGCCCTGCAGTGTCACCAAATTACCATAAAATTTAAGGTAATTTTTACTATACATTTCTCTGCGTGTAGTTATGGTAACCAATAATGGATGTATTTTGTAACCCTGTTTAGGGTGAAAGAGAAATTTTTACGAAATAGAAAGAAAAATTTTATCATTTTATAATTTTCAATCAATCCTTTTTTTTTTGTATATCAATTTTAAAAAAGCTACAATTGATCCATTATTGGATTGTAATAAATTACCAATTAATATCTGGACCATTATTGGAAAATTTTAGGGCAATTTCAAAACAGTGTTATAGAAGTTAAGATATTAAAACTGTCCTAATATAAAATTCCCAAACAATAGTACAGGTTAAACATGGACAAACTTTGTTTTTCAAAACAACCGGCGTATATTGAATTTACGTGAAAAAAGTGATTCATCACCTCTAGGTATTTATCACTCTGGTATTTCTAATTCTGATATTAATAAATTGCAAAAAAAATTTTCTCTCCAAACCAATTAATTTTGTTTTTCTTTTTTAATTCATATTTTCACTTCCATGTTGACTTGAAATACATCAATATTACAAATTGACTTTACTAAATAAAATAAATCTACTTTCATCGAGCTTAATAATGACAATAAATCAGCATACGAATTAAAATACAAAGAAAACAAGTTAAAGTTAATGAGTAATTTTCTATCCGACTAAATAATAGTATATCAGTTATATAGTGGAAAAAATTACATTTCACAGATTTTCGAGTGCTCTCTGATGGGAAATACAACAACAGACGATTTGATGGTGTCTTGTTTGTATCGCAATCGTCAAATAGAGTCAGCAAAGAGTCGTAAGCTCGATTGGAGCTTTCTCTTTGTAGCGGTCTTTATTGTAGCTGGCGGTTTAGGCAACATCCTTGTGTGCCTTGCAGTATGTCTCGACCGACGTCTCCACAACGTTACTAATTATTTCCTCCTATCTCTCGCAGTGGCTGACTTACTAGTGAGCCTTTTTGTCATGCCGTTGGGTGCGATACCTGGTTTCCTTGGTAAGTATTTCATTAATTTAATGTCTACGTCATTATGCCACAAACTGAATCACTTACTTTCTCTTTATTTATGTAATTAAAGTCGTTATTTCAACAAATGTACGACTGAGATTGAAATGAGTACCTTCTATATTTCAAGTCATTGTAAGAATTCAAATCGATCCTTAGACTTTTTTCTTTACATACAATTAGGTTTTCTCGACATGGGTTTTGTGCAGAAATTACCGGATACTTGATTGCTTCATCTCTGAAAAAAAATCCAATCTTTTTTTGACACAAAGCTCATTTACAGGTCACTGATCTCTTGCTTTCATACATACCACTTTTTTAAGATTCCTCGATTTTTGCTTTTGGAGGTGATAAGCTGGAAAATATGTTCTCTATTGACTTGAAGCTTCATTAAATCCTCGTCACTTAAATTTGACAACAAAAGAATGATTCTACAATTGAAAAAAAAATCCCATTTTCTTTCTTTTTCTTTTGTTATAGAAAAAAATTGTAACAGGAAAAAAAAACCAACTTCGAAAGACATAAAAAAAGCAGTCACTTTCCACCACACTGGCTATAAAAGCGTTGAATTCTACAAAAAAACAATCATCTTCAAAAAAAAACTTACCTATGACATGAGCAATAATACAGAAAAAAATGAAAGTATCACCTTTGACTGTGTATTCTAATTTTTTTAACTAGAATAAAAAATAATGTCTAGAAGATGGTCATTAAGATATGAATATTTATTGTTTTTTTTTCATTTCATTTTGATACCGTATTTACTTTGATACATTAAAAATTAATCTGGCACAATGAAATCTGCAAGTTTCATGACAGACTATTATTTTAAATTTAGAAAAAAAAAAAAAAAATTCCGTTTTTATATCAGAAAGATGTTTTTTTTAGTGATAATTAAATTTTTCTGATTGTTTATGAAATCTACACTAATGAACACTGACGCTGAATTATTGTAAAACAAACAAATAATAATTTTATCACAATTCCATCAAAAAGTTCAAAGAATCAAAGCTACATTAATATAAAGATTATTGATATAATTACAAAGTTAGTTAATTAATTTCATTACATCATTTGAAAGAACATTTCAACAATGTTACATTTGGAGTGTATGTGATGTGAGAGAGATGATTATAATAACGAGACTCTGGTACAACAATGAACTGTTTCTATATTTTCTTTTATGCTTACGTACATGTCTTGTTTCTATTGCTTTTACAGTAACACAATTTTTCGTTATTTTTTTTTAACATTGAAAGTTCTTGGAGTCTATTTCTTCGTCAAGCTAAATGGTATTCTGTCGTATTGCCATAGAAAATTACTTTTTAAAAATTTTCTTATTACAGAGTCATAAAATTTGGTAATTAATCGCTTGTGCCCTCTACAGGGACGCCATGGCATTATTACAACAAATTATTGAAGTAGAAAATATCAAAGTTATATTATTATAATGAGTATTTCAGCAAAGAATAATTAGTAGCATTAAAAATAATTACAGTTTGATTTTATTGAAAAAAATGCGTTATTTAAATGAATAAAAAGATAGTAGTAATAAATATATTTGAATGATAAATGAACCAGTAATTGAAAGGGAAAAGATTTTCGATGAAGATTAGGATCAATCTGAATTATAGATGGTCTTAATCTTTATAAACATTTTTCAACCATTTGAATCTCAAAAACCTCTTCACTTCCAGCCCACCAATGATTGATACTAAACTTTTTACTCAAACAGATGAAAGCCGATAAATCGATCCAAAGCCGTAAATCCTTGTCGTATACCCTAGAACGTCTGTTTTCACGAGTCCTCCTGCTACTCGTCCTAGATCAAAATGAGAAATGAATTCTTCGTTTGAAGACATCAGATAACGAGTTGACGGGTAGTTTACAAAGGATTCAATTCGCGTCAATACTTTGCTATAAACGGAGGCAAATTCCTCGAAATTATTTCTTTCTGTGCCATTAAATACTTTTTTTTCAATTTTTATATTGAAAACAAATAAATTGATGATAAATTATCTTCATCCAATTGAAGATGTATATATATTTTAAATTCGGTAGTAAAGTACATAATTTTATTGAAAACAAAAATTAAAGTACTCTCGATAATACGAAATAGCTCTCAAGTTGTCTCTTTGTTTCTATTAAAACTCAGATCCCTCAAGCGTTGAGATTAAATTTCAAGCATTGCAACGGCCGTTTCCTAACATTCACAGTCCATAAAAGTCCCTGAAAAAATGGATTAATTACCAGACTCGTTTTGCTAGGTACTTGAAGTATGTTTGTAAGGATATTAAAAGTTTTAACGTACAAATATTTTTTTCTTTAAAATTATTATTTAGAAAGTTTATTTTATTTTTTTCTCTGAAAGTATACACGGTGAATACTTAAGTAAACATTTTTTTTGGAAGACATTTTTTGTTTTAGAGGTCGCGAATTAATGTCACAAAGTTTTTTTTTTATTTATGGACCAACGAAAAGAGCCATTTATCAATATTTAACCCTTGAAAGTCATAGGCAATTGGACTTTTAATATCAATGAAAGTTAGTTGTACATAGTCTGTAAAAAGTAGTTAGTGGTTTTACAAAAATGAGTCCATTAACAAAATTTTAATACATATTTTATTGATTTCACTAAAATTTTTTATTTAATCAATTCTATAACGAATAAGAAGTTCTCATCAACTAACTTTATGTGCTTTATAATCGAGAAATTAGTTGGTAACCATTAATGGGGTTAAACAGTGTTAAACAGCAGTACGAAAAAAAATAATATTCACACTTTTTTATGTATATGCAATAAGCATACTGGGAGCTTAATAAAGAAGAAAGAAAATTAAGTAACAAAAATAAATGCAAATAATCATAATACAGAGTGAAAGCAAAATGGATAAACTTCTGATTAGGAGTCACCTTCGATTTTGACCAAAATTTTTTTACGAGTTTACCTCAATTAGTGATAAATTTTCTCTTCGGCATTCTTGGCGCAAATGCACCATATCATTTTTATGGAGGTTTAAAGATTTTACCATTTTTAGCCATTTATTTATTTAGATCGCTCCCAAAAAGAGTGAAATGTTAGAGTTATGTTAGAGACTTAACACGATAATAGGTATTATGACGCTGGTAAAGACCATTGTAAATTTTTTATACTGCTTAAGAACTCTATCCTTTATCTCACGTCTTTATTATCACTTACAATTTTAAAAAATTATCAATCTTACCATAAAAGTCAATCACGATATAACCATGAAAACCCCTATAAAAATGTTATGGTGGCCCATAACTAAACTTTTTTAAGGAATCATGTTTGTGTTGTCAAAGTCAAAATATCGTCAAAATTCCACCCCTTTTTGGTGTGATACCAATAAATAAATGGATAAAAATGGTACAATCTTTAAACTCCAATAAAAATAATATGGAAAATTGGTGCCAAAAATGCCTTGGGAGTTTTTCATGTCCCATCCAGGTCCAAAGCTTCATCTCATTCGGAGATGACACCTAATCGGAAGCACATCTTAACTCTTTATGATAAATATTTCTCAATATATTTTTATTGTTTACATATAAAAGATATCGCTGTTTTTTAACAAATTGATTTTAGTTAATCAACAAATAAACTTTTTGAAGTTTTGTTTTCTTACATTGGAAACTATATTTATGCTGAATATATAAAATAAATGGGCATCAATTAAGTGTCACTTAAAAAAATTTAGAATAGTTATAATCCGTAATGACATAATTCAATAGATCCTTGTATTGAACAATACTCTCTCAAAACAGAATGATACTAAAACAATAAAAGAAAGAAACTTTATCTTTTTTTCAAGTTGTTAATTTGATTTATACAATATAAAAAATTTTAAGCTTGTTAATGTGTAATAATTAGTCTTAATATATAATACTGGATATAAAGATTTTTCGAATTATTTTAAATCTTGGATGTTGATTCAGATCTAAAAAGTACAGAGAATTTTCATAAGTACTCAATAAATTCTTCAACTATGACGGTAATATAAATATAATGAATATCAAAACAGTATTGTGATGAGAAATTGCAAGAACAATTTATTAAATTAAGTCAATAAATTTGTAATTAAAAAGTAATAAAAATGTTATGCATGTGAATGACTATCATTTAAAGTAACTCATTGTTCAAGATTTTTTAGTTATTTGTTCAAATTTATTGTTCAAATGCGGTGATTTGCCAAAAAAGTATTGTTGAGTCTAATGATTAAATACATTCTTCATTTGCCAACAGAAATCGAGGAAATTCCAAGATCCCTCGATTTTGCCTTTAAAGTGTCTTTTCAGTTACTTTGAGCGCTAAAAAGTTCCTTGACGAAATTTCTACTAGGGTATTATATCAATCGTTCGAAAAAACTCAGAATATAGTAAAGATTATTTTCAGCTTTATGCACTGCTATCTCTTAAGATAACTGACTAATTTATTTTGTTCTCAATACCTTACCAGTTTCTACTCCTTAATTTTTTATTTAGATCATGATAACTTATTTTTATTCGTATTTGTAATTTCATAACTGTCACCTATTTTAACACAGTCATGACAATTTTCTGTATCATAAAACTAAACTTTCCTTGTTGGAATTTCTTTAAAGTTAAGTCGATGAAGTTAATATCAAAAAAAGCCTTGGGGATGAAGAATTATTCCATTGATTTAGAAGAATTTATTGGCAAAAAATTGGATGGTTTATTTCATTTTTTAGGATCGTTGATTTAATAATAAAAATAAAAATAAAAAAATGATCAATTCTCTTTAACTTCTTATACCCTTTCCAGTGAAAATCTATTCTCTCAAAAATTTGCATAGAAATAGCTTGATAATACATGAATATTGAGAAATTTAAACACATCCATCTCATACTACAGACGATGTCACAAGTGACACTTCATCGTTGGTGTTCAGATCCCGATGTTATTATCGATTACCGATTCATGTCAATTCAAGTTGAAGTGTATGTCAATAAAAG